TAATTTTATAAAAGGGTGTCATGCTGTTTGTAATCTTTTGGGAATGACCTTTTTGTTTTACTAATATTATATTGCTAAGATTCAACCATATTGTTGCATATGCCTTTATTTTATAACATGAGATAAGAGTAATTGTGAAAGAGGAGATGTGAAAGAAGAACTTGCTTGAACGTGCAGGCCATTCTCAAAGCTCAATCTTAGGAAAAAGGACATATGGATACGGAAATTCCTTTAAAACAATTCCAGGTGTATCCCCTTGGAGAGTCTTCATGTACCCTTAGAGGTAAACATATCCAGATTGAGGACTGCAGGTATATATCACCAGGTGGGGTTGCTTAAGGGAATTTGTAGATATTCTGGGCAAGTTTATTAACCTTTCCAAGCCTCAAGTTTCTTATCTTTAAAATAAATATAATAGTAACTTTCCATTGGGTTTTTTATTAGGGTAAGAAGAAAATATTTATAAATTAAATATTATATCTGTCTTTTTAAGCAAAAGTTATTCTCTAGTGTTGTCAGTTTTATGAAATTACATAAAGATAGAATTGTTTCAGAATTGTGGGTAATTTTGATAGTTACTAGTTATTCCCAGATCTTTGTTGATGAATCGTGAGTCTCTCTATGCCTGGATTACCTATTTTTAAAACTCATTTGTAGCATCTAGTTTAATTCTAGAGCATTCGGACATAGAAGCAAAGAATAGGTTACTAAAAAGTAAAAAACTTTTGCTATAAAGTTTTTTGCAAATGTTATGTTCTAGCCTTTACTGTTTTATCCTGTATCTAGTTTCTGTAAATGGCATATTTTTCTGCCTTCTTTTTCATGTCTTATTTAATGTATGACGTACTGTGATAAGGATTGGCTTTAAAAGATTGCACCAAGGATAATACTAGCCTACTTTTATAAACATATATTCTCCATTCAAAATTTTGATAAATGATTATTGATTATTCAGAAGCAAAAGAAAAATAGTCTGTCTGTAAAGGTGATGTCCTGAAGGAGATGGGGCATCAAGGATGATTTTTATTGGAGGAGTTTTACAAAGCCTATGTATGACATCTTCAAGAACAATTTCGGGTGAGGGGGTGGCTTTTGTCCTACATAGTAACTTTAGCATTTTTTTGTTAGGAAATGCCATTCACAATTTAATTTTTTTTTTTCTAGCCTTCCTTTATGGCAAGATTGTCATGAGTTATGGAGTAAAAAGCGAAGAAGACAGAAGCAAATGGGCATGACTGATGATGGTTCCACAATTAAAGCCCCCAGAAAGGACTTGTCTCTGGGCTTGGATGACAGTAGAACCAATACACCCCAGGGTGTGCTGCCGTCTTCACAGCTGAAATCTCAGGGCAACTCAAATGTAGCACCTGGTCAGTAATGCTTCCATGGGTTGGTTTTCTTTACATTGTTTTGTAGTTAATGTTGATCATATTGCTCTAGTGTGTTAAAGAATCTGTGGCTAACTGATAAAAGTTTTGTTCACTGAACTGGGCATTTCGTATCTGTTTGTGCCAGTACAGGAGTTTCATTGCTATTGGCACCACAATTTTAAGTAATCTCAAGGTAAAATAACTTATAAAGAAGCATTGAATTACCTATAATTGGTTATTGGTTAGGTTTTTCTATTTCCTTCTGGCTCCTAGTGCAGGAGTCAGTAGATCTCTTACTAATACTGCTCTCAGTGAGGCTCAGTGTTCAGTGTCTACAGATGCTTAAGGAATAGGAAGAAAGATAAGGAAGATAGCTAAAAATTATAATGGAAGTTCTTCTATACCATTTATAATGCCCTCAGGTCACTCTTAATGTTATATATTTCCCCTGTTATATTAGAGAATCTCAAAGATTAGAATCTGATTATCTGTGCCAAAATGACTTAAAATATGATAAAGAAGGATATTTTATATGTAGTTACTTTGAGGAAACTTAAATTTCTTCTGACTCAATCTGTCATAAGAGTAAGTTTCTTGATAAGAAGTCAGCCTCTTCAGTGTTGTCAAAAGTCTTGTTAAAATCATCTCATTTAGTTAACTTTTTTAAAAATGAATTCTACTCCCTCATTTTTTGCCTCTAGAATCCAGAAACATTCAGCTTTAGCTTAAGTTTCTTTTACGAAGACAGAGAGTGATATAAAATAAATGTGCATATGTGCATACATGTGCACATAGGTGGTGGTTTATAAACATGAAAAAACAGATTAGCACTTATTAAGAACTGAGTAAATGTTGATCACTTAGTTGTTTAAAACAGATCTGTGGATCAGATTGAACTTTTGGTGGTTGAGTATAAATATAGAATAGCTGAGAAAGCCTGCGAAAGATTGCCGTTAATGCTTACCCATGTAGTCTACAAGCTTATATTTGATCTTGATTAACTACATATTTAAAATACTCATACTTTAAAAACCAAAAGCAGTTATATTTGTTGTTCAAAAGTATTCTTTCTTGAAATAGTGAATTCCCCTTATACATGAAAATATTTGGTACACACACAGATTTATAGAACATCTATTCTATACAATGAGGGCTATCTATATTAAATTCAATATTATTTCTGTTCATGTTAAAAATATATAAAATTTGGCCAGGTGCAGTGGCTCATGCCTGTAATCCTAGCACTCTGGTAGACCAAGGCTGGAGAATCGCCTGGGCTCAGGAGTTCAAGACCTCAGCCTGAGCCTGAGCAAGAGTGAGACCCTGTCTCTACTAAAAATAGAAAAAATTAACCGGCTGTAGTGGCGCGCGCGTGTAGTCCCACCTACTCCAGCTACTTGGGAGGCTGAGGCAGGAGGATTGCTTGAGCCCAGGAGTTTGAGGTTGCTGTGAGCTAGGATCACGCCACTGTACTCTAGCCAGGGTGGCAGAGCGAGACTCTGTAACAAAAAAAAATAATAAAAAAAAAGAAAGGCAAAGTGAAACAATGGTAGGTTTTCTTAATTTGTATTTATATGTTTTATATACCATTTAGTGTACTGCTAAAAAAGGATTTGAGATGGCAGTAACAGAAAGTTTGGATAGTGGTCAGTTGTCCCAGGCAATAGTTGTCATGCTTGACAAGACTATCAGGTCTTTATTTCTGCTCCTCTTCATGGAACTGTTGTCCTTCATATACTAGCAACCCTAGTAGAATAAAGGGTAGTTATTTCACTCTATTATAGCTGTTAAAAAATGAATTGCCCTTTGTGGGCTTATTTTGTTGTTGCTTTGTTCTAACTTATTTTACAACCATATTGATGGTGGAGAGTTTTATTTTTTATTTTCCTTTTTAAAAAAATACTATCACTATTAAGAAGTGAGAATTCTGGTATTTTGAAATAGGGAAGAATCCTCTCTGCTCTGTTTTCTCCTCCATCATCAGTAAGTACCTTGAAAAAAGGAAATGCCCCTTCTGCAGAAGAGACACCTTATGTAAAGAGTACTTCCCTGAGAGTTCGCATGGAGGCTGTTTTCTGCTAATAGGGAAATGAAAAGGAAAATGAGGGAAAATGGCTCCTGGGTTGTAGCAAATAAGCATGGTTTCTTATTAAGGCTTGCAGGTCATAAGAAGAACTTGCAAAAGCATCTCAAAATATATAAAGAAAATATAAAAAGATAGCATTAATCATCAGTTTTTTATCTTCTTAGAGTTTCTCTTCTATTAGCCTGTCATCTGTGGTTTTGGGAATTGCTTGTCAGTGTTATATAGAGCGTTACATACATTTGAGTCTTATTGTTATATATCATTCAGATAAGCTTGCACAAAAACCTGTGTAAATCATCCCAAGTCTAAACTGAAAGTTGGAAGAAGAAAAACAAGTACATCTATTTTACTATCATATATGCATGTAATCATGTTTCTAAAGGCATTCCTAACTTACCCAAAGTGACTTAACTTAAAAAAAAGTAATTTGAATTAAAATCCAGACATTTTATCATTATCATTTTGCAGATCCTAGTCTGCAAAACAGCCTAGTTTTTCAATTTGAGGCAAAGATTAGGCTCTTGGATAATAAACTTTAGAGAAACAGGTACAATATAGTAGTTAAGAGCTTAGATTCTGGAATCAGAATACCTGAGTTTAAATCTCACCTCTGCCACTTACAGAATTTGTAATTTTGGGCAAGTTATTTACTATAGTCTCTCTGGGTAACAGTTTCTTCTCAGCAAATTGAAGTTAATAATAGAGCCTGCTTTATAAGATTGTTGTGAGGAATAAAGGATATAAAGTGCTTGGAAAGTATCTGGACACTCTATGTTAGCCATCATAATCAATTTCCCATTCACACAAGATGCTATTTTCTGGTTAAATCTGTCGAATGGACTTTTAGTGATAGTCTTGATTTTCCTTTCGAAGTATAATATTTACTCCTAAAGATAATTTATTCAAAATTGATGGCAGTTCTTTTTGTTTTATATGCAGGTACATCTTAAGTGTACATGGTATTTAACTAGACAGAGGTTCCCTTTTCAAAGTATTTTTTAAACATCTCCCTCAAATGTACATTTTAATATGGTAATACAGAGCCATTGGGGGGTGGGAGGAACTGTGAATTTGGCAGCTATAATTAATACAAATTTTGTCTTTAGTAAAAACAGGCCCTGGACAGCAGTTAAACCACAGTGAATTGGCAATTCTACTAAACCTACTACAATCTAAAACGAGTATTAATATGGCTGATTTTGTCCAAGTGTTGAACATTAAGGTAAACTGTGAGACTCAACAGCAGCTAAATAAAATAAACCTTCCTGCTGGAATTTTGGCAACAGGTGAAAAACAGACAGATCCATCAACGCCACAACAGGAGTCTTCGAAACCTTTGGGAGGAATTCAGCCTTCTTCTCAGACCATCCAGCCTAAAGTGGAGACTGATGCTGCCCAAGCGGCTGTGCAGAGTGCATTTGCAGTTCTGTTGACTCAGTTAATAAAGGCTCAGCAGTCAAAGCAGAAAGATGTGCTACTAGAGGAGAGGGAAAATGGATCGGGACATGAAGCATCATTACAACTCAGGCCACCTCCAGAACCTAGCACTCCGGTATCTGGTGAGTGTGCAAATGCCAGACTGCTAACAGCTGGTTTCATTCTCTCTTCTTGCTGTTGTCGATTATGTATAATTTGTATTGTTCAGTGACATTGCTAGGAGAGGTCCTGAAAATTCTCAGGTTATTGGTTATAGGTTGGTTTCCTAGTCTGTTTACTCCCTGGAATGGGTTCTTTAACAAATTATCCATGTGAGATATAACGCATTATGAGCGCTATAGGTTTTTCTAAGGTAAGCCAATGTTAAGAAATAATCCTTTACTCCAGATACAATAGGATGTTTGGCCAAGGCATAAATGTTTTGTACACCGTAGCTTTTTTTCTTCCACAAATAAATAGGTATATGCACAAATAAATTGGTATATGTGAAGTAACTTTGAAAAGCCAAATAAAATAAAAATTTTCAGTTACATAGACTCATTTAAATGTTAGCAGGCAATGTTAGTACTTGTAAACCTTTTTCTTTTTCATTTACCGTTTTGCCAGAGATGGAACTTGTAGAATCATGTTTAGGACCGCCCATAGTAAACGTTGACTAGTTGGATATTTAGTTTTCCATGGTAACTTTCGACTCTCTTTTTTGCTTTGTTTCACTTAGGGCAAGATGACCTCATCCAGCACCAAGATATGAGGATATTGGAGCTTACACCGGAACCAGACCGGCCTCGAATTCTGCCTCCTGATCAACGACCTCCTGAACCCCCTGAACCACCACCAGTCACTGAGGAAGACCTGGATTATCGGACAGAAAACCAGCACGTACCCACCACTAGTTCTTCATTAACTGACCCTCATGCTGGAGTGAAAGCAGCCCTGTTACAGCTGCTTGCTCAGCATCAGCCCCAGGATGAACCCAAAAGAGAAGGTGGTATTGATTATCAAGCAGGAGACACTTATGTGCCCACTTCAGACTACAAGGACAACTTTGGATCCTCTTCTTTCTCTTCTGCCCCTTATGTTAGCAATGATGGTTTAGGAAGCAGTTCTGCTCCACCATTGGAACGACGTAACTTCATTGGAAACTCAGATATTCAGCCTTTGGATAACTACAGTACTGCTTCATCTCATTCTGGTGGTCCACCTCAGCCTTCTGCCTTTTCTGAGTCATTTGCCAGTTCAGTAGCTGGATATGGAGACATTTACCTCAATGCTGGTCCCATGTTGTTTAGTGGAGACAAGGACCATAGATTTGAATATAGCCATGGTCCTATTGCAGTCCTGGCAAATAGCAGTGACCCTTCCACAGGGCCAGAGAGTACTCATCCTTTGCCAGCAAAGATGCACAACTATAACTATGGTGGTAACTTACAGGAAAACCCGGGCGGCCCCGGCCTTATGCATGGACAGACCTGGACTTCTCCTGCCCAAGGACCTGGATACCCACAGGGATACAGGGGACACATTAGCACATCAACTGGCAGAGGTCGAGGCAGAGGGTTACCATACTGAGTATCTGTTTTTCCTCAGGCACATCATTTTTATCTGGAAAGACTTTTCTAGCTGCAATTTAAGGCAGCAATCCAAGAGACTTGAATAATATTAATTCAACAACAGCTTTATTTTTATGTGGAGAAGGGTCTTGCATACAATAGTTTAAAAAAAAAGAAAAAAAAAAACCTTTGCTTAAATTCATGCTGTTCTAAAACTAGATCTATCGATTGTACATCTTCACAAATTCTAGTTAACAGTTTTATTTTGTATTCTCGCAGTTTTAAGTGGATGCTAATCTTAGGGACATAAGCCTTTTATGGCCCTCTTGCAGATCTTCTGAACTATGCACATTTGTGCTTTTTTTGTAAGTTTGGACCAACTTTTATGTAACAAACATCCCCTCCCTGTCCCTCCCCCCCCTCCAGTTTTACAACAATCAGAAAGGGCACTGATTTATTTGGTATTTTTCTTTTTACAAAGCTACCTTTAGTCAAAGGTCACTGTCAGTCTTTGCACCTGCTTTCAGTGTTATTGTGAAAGGTGTACTTTGTGCTCATTTCAGAAAATAAAACACAACCTTTCTCTTGATGCAACAGTTTTATAAAAAAAAAATGGTCAACGTTATTTTTGTTTTGTTTTGCAGATTACCATAGCCTAGCAAAATGCATTCAAATGAAACAGTGGGTTTTATATGAAAAAATATGGGTAGGGTGGGGAGGGTAAGTAAGTGCCTTAACAGGTAAGCTTAAGGTCTGAAAAAGTAGTTAACCTTTACCCCCCCTTTGTCTTTTAAAGGGAATCAATGCATTGAAGAGGCAGGAAGTTCTCAAGTTTTCAGGGGCTGCCTGTTCAGTTCCTGTTAGGTCCATTCCCTCTGCCTATCACACTTTCTCCTTTTCTGCCTGTTTGGGGCTGTGTTACCTCTCACTACTACCTTCTCTTGATGGGAGAGTGAGAGCAAAGAAAGGGAGTAGAATTGCAGTCAGTACCTTTTGTTACTTCTGAGAAGTTCTAAAACGTTTTGTCATTTAAGTGGTTGAAAGTAATAGCTAAGTGAGAATTTTAGGGTACCATTTTCTTTCAGGCTACCGTATTGTCTCTGTTTCCATTTGCCATGGAAATTGGAGGGCAGTAGTATAGAAGCAAGGGTCAATAACAGAATTTGCATAAATCTATGAAAGTTAATGGGGGAGGGGTGACAAACACCATATTTTAATTTATGCAATTGCTGTTTTAAGAAAAAGTCAACTCAGTTCACTTTATTAACTAGAAACATTGCCTTGATTGAATTTATTGAAGTGAAAAGAAGTGAGAGAGAACCTCTTGTCTTCCTTCCTCTCACCTTCTGTAAAGTTTATTACGACTTCTTCCAGACTTAGAACAACTTTAGTTCATTTTAATTTTTTTTTTTAATTATTAAAAGCAACAAAGAATGGAATAACCCATATTTAAACTGTAATGGTGTCAAGACTGACTTTGCGTGCACTTGTTCACACACACAATTATAATTCTAGAAAGGAACCAAAGGTAAATAACCAGTGTTTCCATTATCACTAAATGGAAAAATAGACTCCGGCTCCAGCTTTTGAGGTTGTCTCTGTTCCCCAGCATGTCCATATGGTTCCTTACTCCTCTTTCAACAAGCCCCTGCTCAAACAGAACATTAGTGTGTTCACGTTTGCTAAGATGTAGGGGTCATGAGGAAGGGTCAGATTGCTCATTATGCCACAAACTGCTGAAAATTAAGTTTTAGGCTTTCTTGTTCTTAAATCCTTTTGATCATACCCTACTGGAGGTTTCTCACTGGCCTTCACTTCATGCAGAGCCCTTGCTCCAACAATGTCCTAGCACTGCCACCCCCCTCCTCTATAGGGAGCACCTTCTGCCACCCCTGACCCCCGAGAAAAATTAATTTCCTGCTTCTGCAAATGCAGTCTTTTGGCCCTTTTTGGTTGCCTGAGCCCTAGCCAGCTCTATGCCCTAGGGGTTTATCATGGTATTTCCTGAAACAAAGACAGCTACTTTCCCAAGAAGAATTCCGATAATAGGTCTTACCGCTGAAAGACAGCCCCAAAAGATGATCAGATCCAGCATTCTGCCTTGAGCAACTGATGGAGACTCAGAGATTAAATGAATTACCCCAAATACACAGGGTAATGAAGTAGTAAGGTCTGGAATCCAGGTTTTCTATTTCTAAAGCTCTGCCATTCTTTTGTTTCTGATATGAGTTAATAACTTACCTCAGAGAGCCAGCTTTGGACTGTTATCAAAAGCAGGATCTTTGTCACCATTCTCTGTCCCTTTTGTTTTTGGCAACAGCTTTTGGGAGTAACTGAGTTGGACAATAAAAATTCCTTTCTGTTGGATTACAAAAGTCAGAGACTGCTGAATTGAATAAACCTTGTAGATACAGCAGTCACCTACCTCTACCTCTCCCCTTTCTCTCCTCTCAGAAGACAGACCAGATGAAAAGTTTAAACAGTTGGGAATAATGCTAATTTTAAAACTGAATCCTATTTCCCTGTGATTTCCATTATTAATTTGATGATGCCTTATCAAGAAAAAAAGGTTTTGTAAGATAAATAATATTTAAGAAGGCAGCAAGATTTTATAAACTAGTCTTAAAAAAATAATTCAAAGTAAGCCACAAAGTACAGCTACTCTACTGAACTACAACTAAATCAATATTTTATGAAGCTGCAGCAATGCTACCTCTTCAGACGAGAGCACAATGAAAAGACACTCACTGCTGCCCTGCCTGACTTTTACATTTAGTCTTTCGGTCTAGCTTGAGCCCAGGACAAGGATCTCCCCTAGAGTGTGTCGTAAGAGCAAGCGAGCCAATGGTTTATTTCCTTGACCTGGTGAGGGCTGCTAATAGCTGTTAGTTGTCCTTTTTGAAATAGCAACCACCACCAAAAAATGCCTATAAGAGCTGCGTGTTATTTAAAATTACCTATTTGAATACTGGCAAACTTATAACAAAAACGATTTTTAGTTTTGGTGTGGTACTTATTTAGCTGTTCTTTTTGACAATAATTAACTAGTCAGATCAGCTATTTCTGAGACCACTTCTGGTGTGAGTGCTAAAAATGTCTTTCATATAAAGAAAGGTGATTTTTAAGAACTGTTTTCCAGGAGGACATATAATAACTCCCATAAAAACTAGAATTTAGTCTACCTATCCTAATAATGCCAATGGTTTCTAAGATTCAGAAAAGAAAATCTCAAAAACAAATAACCAGATGTACTATGATCTTAAAACAAATTACTGAGGCAATGACATCTTGTTAAATGTTGATGACTACAGCAGTTTCATAAAAACATATAACTTTTCTGAGGATTGTTCAGGTGAATAATCTTTTTAGCCATACCTCTTCTGTTCTCCTCTCAGAAACACTGTGAGAACCACTGAGATAATTTCTCTGAATAGTTTTGAACAAAGGGTCTCACAATTTTATTGTACCAGGCAATTTTTTATTGTGCCTTCTCTAACAACATTTCCAGAAAAATGGCAATAATGCCAGACTTCTGGAAATTTTGCTTGGGTTTATTCCGAAGTCATGTGATAAATCCAATTATTTGGGCAAAATTACTAATTTACAACTGGCTTTGAGACAACAGGTCAATTTCTTCCTTTGATACTTTCCCCTATCTCCAACCCCCTTCTCTTCTTTTGTATTTGTTTTTTTCAAAAAGCTAAAATAAAATCTATATTAATTTAGTAAATACTACTGAGCACCTTCTTCAGGCATGGCACAGATGTTTCAAAAGTGCCTAGGACAAATTCTAAGTATTCAGTGGAGGATCTGAATAGAATTGAACAACCACAACTACCTGCATTTCTTTAAATGACCTGTTTGTTTCATCTAGTTGAAGTTTTTGGCCTTTCCAGGTCTAATTGTCATTTATCTTGCCCCGGTTCTGACTCACAAATAGTCTCATTTTGCTCTGCTAGGGCCAAATCACAATGAGAATTGCTTAATTCTGGGCATCACAAACTTGCATATGCAAAGGTCGGTGATCAGATGGGTGAAGAGTGGACCCTGGTTCACAGGAGGAAAGCTGAGAGAATGGCGGTATTGAAAGAACTGGGGGCCATGTTGACCGGTGAGGGCAGAGGAGGAGACTGCTCTGCTTAGCTCTACAAGAATGGCACCTCACCTTAACCTCCCCAAGCCTCAGATCCTTCACTCGTAAAATAAGCTGCTGGGTTTGAAGATCCTGAAGATTTCTTTTAGCTCAAAATGGTTTTGAGTCTATAATTAGCGGGGAAACTGATTTCAGCTCAATTCAAGGAAAAGCTTTCTTCCAATCAACCAGTCTTCGTAACAGGCAACTTCGGGAGGTGGTGAGCTCTCCACTGGTATGGGCAGAGTTGGGGTGACCATCTGTCAGGTGGCCTGTGCCAGGATCTCCTATCTTCACTGGGCCAGGTGGACCAGATGACTGCTAAAGTCTTTTCCAACTTTGTCTAGAAACTTTTCCTGTTTCAAGTAATTATCAAGAGAGCAAGTCCTATTGTCAAAATACTACAGTGCTCCAAGTCAAGGACCTTAGCAGGAGGAGGGAAAGCCCACCAGCCTGCAGCAGGGCAATGACATCCTCACCTGCCATCTGCTGAGTGACAGGCCTGGCACCAGGTACTTGACATATAGCATCTCTTACTCTTATAGCAATTCCATGAGGGAGGTATTATTCTTGTTTTGCAAAAGGGAATTGAGGCTCAGAAAGGCAAAGTAACTTTACTAAGGTCACACAGCTAGTAAGTGAAAGTTATAGAATTCAATTCTAGGTCTGTTGACTCCAATGCAGTACTTTCCATGATGTTTTCCTGTCTCAGAGGAGCAGTGTATAATGGGAGCAAGCAAGACACACAAAGAAGGGGAAGAATGTCAGGGAAGCCAAGTGCAGCATGAATCAGAAACCATGAACTAAAGACTTCCATAGTCTGTGGGTAGGGAGTGGGTGTTTACTTACATGTTGAGTTTGAGAGGCCACTGTACCAATAATAGATAATTATAAAACAAGAGGCTCCTGATGTTTCTGCCATCAAGCCCTTATGACACATTGCCTTGGTCATTCTCTATGACCCACCACAAAGAAATCTCTAGTCTGAGGTGTTGTAATATTCTTTACAATTTAAGCCCAGAATGTCCATATGGGAAAGATGGGCTATGCCTTCCATGAGCCAAAATACAACCCAAACCAAAGTTCCCTCTCTGTCCTCACTCCTTTAAGGCTTATAATGTTTAGCAAGTCTGGGTATACTTGGTTCCACTATGACTTCCCAACTATGGTCTGTGAATCACCCACCAGAATCATGTGGGGCACTAGTTAAAACATAGATTTCTGGGTCTCTCAACGTAGAGGAGCTCATCTGGTCCACTGATCTCCAGGGGTGGTACCCTGGAATATGGATTTTTAACAGGTGATTCATAGGCACATTGGAATTTCCAAACTATTGACTCTTTCTTGGCACGGGTTGGCATGTGAAGGCCAGGAGATCTAACTAGATAAGGCACAACCAAATTATCAACGTTTTTACTAAGCTAGTCTCTGAGAAAAAGAAAAGTTAAAAACTGAAT